ATTTTTCTCAAAAACAAATATTAGTTGAGCTGCACTTTGTCTAATTATAAATTTCAAATTGGCATTTATTCTTTTGTGTATTATGTAACAGTCAGTTATGTATTTATAGAATAACAAAAATAATAATAACAATGATTCAAACATTCATTGTAGTTCAAGAATTCTAATTTATTTTGCTAAGCTTGCATGCATACGAACAGTCACATGTATCCGGAATATTTTAATGCTTTCAATAAGATTAACACATATTTCAAATTATGTCTTTCACAGAAAATTTACATCAATGTTTGATAGATAACTGGGATGATGTTCTCCAAATTATGCAGCAATGAATGGCGATGCTTAATTCACGTTATTCTTAAAATGTATTTTCAATTGATGTTATATCCGGCCCCGAATCTAAATATACTAATTTAATATTCATTTTTAATATTCATATTTATTTGTATGCTGAGAATAACTTTGTTTAGACAGCTTCTCAACCTAGCAGTATTCATATTTAAACATATTTGAATTTTATATATTAGTATTCATATTCATATTTAAGTTAATAAAATTTGTAATTTGAGTTTTAGTCTGTGCTTGCTATGCTACAGTCTTTAATTCTGTGCGGACGTTTTGTGTTTGGGACCTCATATTTGCCGATAATAAATTTTAAAAATATTTAGAATTTTCAGTCAGTTAAAGAAGTACTCCGGGTTATCGAATTTGTATGTTTTTAGTTATTACTATATGATATTATTACAATATCATATGACTGTTAAAATAAGTAAGAAAAAATAAAAATGTTAATTATGATATTAATCGTAAATTCATATTCCAAAATACTTGAAAATCCTTCCATTTCCTTGAATAGTAACGAAAATGCTATTTCATGCATTTTAAATTCAACTAAATTAGATTTATGAAATTTACCACATTTCCTTCCTGCATTTCCTTTTTTTTTTTTTTTTTTTTTTTTTTTTTTTCCAATAATTTTTTAACTTTTTAGGATTCAAGAATTTAGAAAGAATTTTTACATAATGTTAAACTCTTTTGTTCTTTTCATAATATCTAAAAATAGAGTCTCATACCACATAATTAACTTGTTTTCAGAAATGAAAATCACAGATTCATAGAGTCGCTACTTACTATATATCGTCAGATATAATTCCTGTATTTTAACAAATGAAGGCCTCTTAATCCAGATAAGACTAATGTACTCAATTATTTCTGAAAAATATGAAATAACAAAACAGATAATTTATGCAGTTCTTTTAAAGAAGGGAAAAAATTACTGTGAATTTGTTTTTCCTTTTTTTTTTTTATGTAACTGCACAAGTTTCCTTCTTCAAATACCAGATTATTTAAGAATAGTATTGCTCCCATTCGAACATTACTGAACTGATTGTGATACACTTGCTGTCTCGAAGGGTATTTACTTTCGCGTGCATGATTCTTAGACATATTGAAGTGAGGTAATTGCTTTTGCTTACCTCTGATAAAGGAGGACAATTGCTAAAACCGTTTTCAAGTAACCTGTTTTGGTCTTTAAAGTAGCCTAAGCGTCGCATACCTCAGAACAGTTTGTTAATTTGTAATACTTAAAGAGGACATTATTTTTAATTAAATAAATTACTATGTTTGGTTTTTCTTCTAAAGCAGGCATTCATCTCAAGATTTTCAAAACGAAATCGTGGATAATTTAAACAGTTCAATAACATGGAAATTTTTCTAAACAATGTAATAATTACGGAAATTTTAATTTAAAAAATTGCTACTGCTGAAAGACCCATTTTTGTTTATGTAAATGCAGAGAAGTTTTTGACTTGAAGTTAATGACAAGTAAAGCCTGATTTTTTTCATTTATTAAATGTGAATAAAATGGCAAGTTAATTATATTGGCATACGATCATTCATGAATTATAAACAACATAAATCAATCAAACGATCATAATATACCAATTTCGGGATTGACTGAAAGTTCACATAATAAACTGAGTGATATCCAAAGAAGAATAAAAAATGCTGAAATTAATCTTTCAGATTTTCTTTTTTCTTCAAGACTTTTGCGAGAGAAAAACAAATACTTTACTTACTTGCATAACGTTTTTACTACAGTTGAAAATAGGTTTCGATACGATTTTAGTTTAGTTAACTTGTTTTAGATGATTTCCAAATATCGGAACGTTGCTGATTATTTACTTGTTTAAATTATCGGGTGTATGGTGCTACCAAGCATTAAAATTTGATTTGCAAATTCTCCTCTTTTTTAAGAGCAATAAAAATACTTAAAGAGGACATTGATGGAAATGCTTTAGCAAAAGAAACATCTGAAAAAAATTAAATTCACATTTTAATCAAGGAAAAAAATAAAACAGAAAAGCTTTTCTCAAACCTTCTGTATTTGCAACTCAAAGACTACTTCGAAAATTCTAATTTGATAACTTCAGATAAAACAATGAGAAAATGACAGTCTTGGTTATCCAACATTGAGGAATTCGCATAGACTGTCAGGACTGCTATTCCTTTTAATTACTTTTGGGAACATTTGGTAATCCGGAATGGGAGCAAGGAGCTTACTCAAACTATGCTCGTGTAAGGCAAACAAAACCAATAAGAAGAGTTAACTTTACCCTTTATTTCTCCCAGCGTACAGTCGCTCCCGCACTTCGGGAACAGAGACCAACACTTTTGGTCTAAAACGTAGAAAATATGAAACAAGGTTATTTCACTAAATAAGAACTAAAATGCTGCTTTACAGAGACCTTTAACGCGAAGATTGGCTTTTTGTCACTACGTATGTAGTGAGCGAAATGCAAAAACTACAATACGTCTTCAAATATCAGCAAGAATTAAGTTCTGACCTTAAAGGCAGACATGAACTGACTGAAAAGCACACGCGTGGCAAGGCAGCAAGACGTCGCTCTCGTCCCTTGGCTAAAAGCTGCTTCTTAAATAGCTATTAGCAACCTCATTAGCATAAACAATTCCTACTTGCGCTTATTCTAGCCGGACATGGAAAATAAGATAGGATAGCAAAGTTTTAAAATAAAATAAACGTTAGCAAAACTTAAAATCCTTACTAGACAACATGTTGAAAAGAAAACGAAATTTCGGTTTTTAAAATGAAACACTGTACTTTTTCATAAGATTACGTAGGAAAGAAAAGAATGGGAAAAAATCAGGCTCTGACATTATTTCGCATTTTGTTGTAACCTATCGGGTGTATACCTGATGACATGAATGCGGAATGATTTCACTGTAAATCAAAACAATTAAGAGAATAAAAGTACAAGATATTTAAATTCGCGTAATAAGAGGAGGTTCCTTTTAAGGAGTGGTGGAAAACCAAGAAATTCTCATAACTAAGTAATTAAACCATGCGAGATTTTAAAAAAAGGCTCTATAAGCGGAGTGCATAATATCCCATAGATAGTTCATGATGATTTGAGTGTATCTTATAAGTTGTTTTTGTTGCGTGGTCCCGAAATACCAAATGTTTATATGAACTTCATGATCTCTGGTTTCGGGTTCTAATCTCGGAACAGTCACTGGTATATGTTTACAGATGGGCCTTTACGAATGGATTAGATTAAAATATACTGATCGAGAATTAGCAGGTGTAGAAAAGTAAGAGACTTTCATATACCATCACTCTTGAATGTTCTCCTACGCTCTCTATTGAAACTGAGATGGAGCTGGGTCGTCACTTATTGTGCTTAAGACATGGGCTCAACGACACTCGTACTTTGAGTCAGCCGTGATTACTGATGAAGTTGCCAACAGGATTAACAACACGCAGTTATAAAGTCAGTGATAAGTTGGAGAAGCAATCAAAGTCTTAATTTAGTCCTTTTCAAGTAGTTGGCTTTATTAATTAAAATAATGAATGCGGTGCTTTATTGGTAAGATGAATTCTGCACTTTTAAAATAATACACACCAGAGTTGAATGAAAGGACATATACCCCTCTTAAGATCATCCAAATGGTTGCGACCGTTAAATTTTTAATGTCTCCTAAACTTTGCTATCATAAACTAGTTCGACGTTTGTTTAGAGAATAATCCTAAGTACGACAGAGTTCGGGAAAGTTTGTAAAGAACCCTTTATTAACTCAAATAAAGTTCACAGTTGGTCTTCAACTCGTGCTTACAAATGGCAACACTTTTGGCTTGACTCATAAAGTAATGTATAACTTAAAATTAAATGAATTTAAGTTATCTTAACGGCTTCACAGGCTAAATATCGCGCAAGCTGGTTCTGACTCGATAGTCGGCGTAAACAAATCTAATGGCAAAGAGTGGCCCAACGCTACAGAAATCTAATCGCTAAAAAATCAAGTTAGCAACGTGGTTTTCAGACAGGCAGAGCACGCTCTGATTTCACTTTCCAAAAACCTTCCGTTAAATACTGACTTCTTTCTACCTCATTTGAATATACACGCGTTAGACAATTTTGCATTCTGGCAAGAAAGTGTGAGTTGAGAGCAAAAGCGATAGTAAAGTCCTTAAACATAAAATAACTGTAAAGTAAATTAAATAAAACCTCCACAAATTCTTATTTTAATAATAAATTACATTTTCATGACTTTTGTAGTAGATTTCTATATTTCTACACTCCCCAAATCCTTTTAAATTTTAAAGAGTTATAACATCGTAATATCAACGAAAATATAGTATATTTTTCTTTAGTAATCTGAAGTAAATCTGAAGGTTTAACTCCAGGTTTTGTCCTCATCATAATGGACTCTTAACTGCTGTCCATTTATTATGCAATACATCATTTTTATCATATGTTTAAGACAATGAATGTTAACGTAAAAAATGGTAATATTCCAAATTGTTGATAATTGTACTTGGTTCTTTGTTTCCAACTGGCGCTTTGTTTTCCTCAAACTCGTGTGAGGCAATTCTTAGCATTACTTGAGTGAAATATTAATACGGCAAACACGTGATTCTGTATTTTCCTGTGATTATACGGATTGCATATGAATAGTAAAGCGCATCTTTTAAGAACCATTACCTGTTTCAGTTCTGGTATCCTGTGCATCGGGTGAGGAATATTTTCGTCAAAATGCATTTGGATCTTTTGTTGTTGAATGAAATCTTGACATTTTGATCAGTTCAGTATATATAATCTATAGCATTCGGTATATATATAATCCAATACTTTTGGGTAAGTATTTTTGTTTTACTATAATTTGTATAATTTATGTTTGAGATATGTTTAGGTGAGCTAAGATACTTTGTTTTATTGTTATGAAAGACTTGTCAATATGTATGGGATTGCAACAGTAGTTATTTCAATTTATTATAATCTAGCATCTAATAATGTTTGAAAACCGTACACATTTATAAAAAATATAAGATACAAAATGTTTCCATTTTTTTATTTGTTTTTACTAGAATTATCTCATTAAAAAATATTCAGGGGCCACCTGCGTTTCAAAATTTTCGATTAAAATAGTTTAATGGTAGTATTGGTTATACTTATATATTATATATTATATATATATATATATATATATATATATATAAGCATCATATAGCTTTACCATCGATAGTAGAAGAAAACATTTTTGTTTCGCAGTTATGCTGTGTTACAGGTATTTTGATAAAGATAGTCTTTGAAAAATATATTTAATCTTGGGAAAAAACCCAAAATTTCCGAAGGTATTTTAGGAAAGTCATAGTTCCTTAATCAACTGGACATCGTTTATCAAGAAGCATTATTTAAACAAAATTGTCAACTCATAGACATAGTCTACTTTAATAATAACGATTCCAAGAAAGGCTTAAATAGGATTTTATTTCGGTTTGAATTTTAATCGAAAGCGAAGTATTAGCTCTGGGTCAGAAGCATTTTTATTCTGTTCATAATTTACATAGAATTTTATTACAAAATATATATATATATATATATATATATATATATTTAGTTATAATAATTTAAATACATATACAATTATTATATTAAATATACATATTTTATGTAATATATATAAATTTATTTTATAAATATTTTTTGCTCATTAGATCATAAAAATATACTTTATTTCTACTTTGAACATTATTTTTCTTGTTTGAGTTAACTAAATTCTTAGAATTTTTTGCTTGTGAAATATTCGAAAAATGGCGTTTCTTCAGAGTTTATCCAACGTTTGATAATTTAAGCACCTATTTAGAGGACCACCAGCGGCCAACCGGTAAATTCGCTGAACAATGATAGTTCGGTCTGGGGTATATAGTTCGGTTAATGATAGCCGGTCAGTTCGATTTCCGGAGAAATGTCTGGCTGCATGGGCGTTTTTGTGGTTTTCCTCACGTGTAACGTAAATACGAGCCAGTTCGCCTTGAAAAGTCTCCGAAGGCATCCCTCTCCTGAGTTATATAGCCCTCGTGTGCTCTGCTTTAATCAAATAAATCAAACCAACCAAACTAAGTACGCATTTAAAATGTTGACGGATCTCTGACAACTCAAATAAATTTTGATTTCTTTACAAAAACGGTAGCAAGTCATACAATCTAGGAATGTGCAGTAAAATGCAGGCTATATATTGCGCGTAATTACGAACAGAAGTTGAAAGCAGAAGTTAGCTCTTTTAATGAGCCTCTCATTATTCGCTGGAATGAGTACCTGAGGTTGAGGTAATTACCTAAATAATGCGTTCTGTAAACTTTTACGTAAGTCGAATCTCTAAACTGCTTAAGTGCAACTTTTTAAAAAAACTACAATATTATTATTTTATGTGTATACTCATGGAGAAGAGCACTTCTTTTTATTCCACGCGTGTGGTATTCTTCCACAAGGTGGAACTTCATAATACGGACCATATACAGAGTTCATGAAAATTTGCAACTTTTAAAAAATTGCCTTCACTCAACCGCAAATGCAGATCAAACTATTGCAAAAGCAACAGGAATTTTAAAATATCTAAATGATGATAATTTCAAATTTTGGTTAGAGCGTTTTTATCAGATGCCTCATGTTGAAATAATATACAACTAAATGCAATCCAGAGAAATTAGTGTGTTTAAAGTTAATGAATTTAAAACAAATTTCAAAACTGCTGTTTTAGATTTAAGAAACTCAAAGTACTGTGAGAATTTTTCAAAGACACTGATGGAAGAATCTAAGGAAATATGTGACTTTATACTATGTATTGATATAATGCACAAATATTCTTCCGCTAAACAGTTAGCAGTTGCTAAATTGTTTAACAAGAAATGCTTAGTTTTGGGAATGAACATTCTACACAAGAAATAGTACTGACCACTGAAGCATATCCAATGATTAACAAAGAAAAGCTTGAAACTGAACTAAAAGTATTCTATTGTAGGTCTGAATATCCAAAAATACTTAATTGAGCTACTGAAATTTATCTTCGAAAATAATCTAAATGATGTTCTTAGTTAAATTACGAAACTGATCAAAATTCTCTTGAGAGTTCCCATGACTACATCAGAAGCAGAACGCTGCTTTTCAACATTGAAAAGAATGAAAACATTTCTAAGAAGCACTAGGAATTCGGAAAGACTAAATGCGCTTGCATTACGTAAAGAAAAATTTCCTCAGCTGTCATCCAGAAATCAAGGAGAAAATTATTGATCTTTTCGCGCAAATTAAAACAAGAGGAATGGATTTCATTTTTAAAAGAATATACAAAGATTGAACTGTAACAATTTTTGTTAAAATAATTAAGAAATGTTTACTTTTTTTTTCTTGTAAGATAGATTTCATGAAGTTTCAAACTAAATTTTCTTTTTATATTCCTTTTACGCAATTTTAAAGATTAAATTTTTTTCGAACAGCACCCCCTACTAATTTTAGCCACGAGCCGCCACTGCTCGGATGTAAATTATACAAATGGGAAAAATATATAAAAGTATATAAATGCGAAAAACATATAAAAGTATATAAAAACAAAGGCAAATAAACACACTTTTTAAATGAGAAAATATCAGGTGATAGCTGATTTAGCTCTGGAGAAGGATAGTTGGCACTGGAGTTGTAAAGAAGAGAGCTAATAATTTAAGCTAATATTTAATTCTGTAGAAAAAAAAAAAAAAAAATCTGAAATTTTTCAGATTTTAAATTACGTCCAAAGGGGCGTTTTTTTAACGTTTTGAGTGTTACCTTTATTTATTAAATATCATGTTCTTTGCACTTAAACCATAAAATTCAGTTCAAGAGCAATATCGCAAAATAATGTTAAATTAACCATATCTTTAGAATTTCCGATATACACAGTCTCGCGAGCTGGAGATAAAAGTATTTTTTTTATATATATAACGTTGCCATTTCTCGCTTTTAAAGCATTGAGTTTGTAAATCAAAAATTCGTTAAAGTTTTACAAAATATAAAATCTATAATAAAACAAATTCCAAATTTGGGATTTCAGATGCCCATATTCGCAGTAGGATTTCGTCATTCAAAATTCGATGGCTCTATGTACCATTGTTTTATCACAATGCGAGAAATAGACAATTATTTATGCAGATTTTTCATTATTTAATTTCTTCAAATATAATGCAGAACTCTAACATTTTGTGGCAACAGTTTGAAAAGTAAACCGACGTTTATGAGTCCGACGCAAAATACCAAAACGAAAGCAATAGTCCTTCGGGACTGAAATTCCTTTGGACTAATAATAATTTAAGACCCGTGAATCATTTCTGCCCGTCATAACAGTGCTCCGATATTTTGTGACCTTTGAAACTCCATATAGAGTTTTCTCTTTTGATGTAAACGTTGGTGTTGGCATTCTCTTCCAAATAGTTCCATTTTGTCAAGCAAATATCCTCCTTTATCACGTTTTTGACAGAGGTTCAGTAACTTTCCTTAACGAGTCTGTATCTTCACCTGCGCCCGTAACTTTACTGGTTTGTAAAGATTTGTAAGCTTCTTTTGCGTAATTGTTTGAATCCTAATAAGTCCTTCAAACTAAATCGAAACTAATTTCCTTTCAAACTAAATTGCTCCTTGGATCTAGCTGCAGAGCTTTCTGCTCATACACTTACTAAACTCTGGTGAACTCGCACAAGACACTAAAATGCATTACTGCTGTTCTGTTGTTAGCACCCACTAGTGGCTGAATATTTACAATGGTAAAAATCTGAAATCTAACTCAGGCAAACGGCTGCATGAATTCTTTCGTGGGTTTCTTCATGATTTGCTTATCCGTGATTTCCTGACTTAAAAGCTGTTATTTCCTATGCAGTTTTGCCATTATTTCTTTCACTTTCATACGTCAAGTGAGTCATGGAAAAATTAATAATAAAAAAAATCGAAAATCGAATTCCTGCTTTGGAAAAAATCGAACCTTTTCTTTTTATAGATCATAGTTTTTTCCATATGTAATGTGGCTACAAGCCATTTTCCCATAGAAAGCTGTGCACGAAGGGATCCTTCTCTTAAAATAGATTGTTCTTGTGTGTTTTGACTTATTCAAATAATCTAACTATTTAAATAAACTCTGGCGCTTGCAAAACGTTCTGACAGCAAATGGTTTACTTTAAGAAGAATTAAAGGCCTTATTGTTGGATGAATTCTCGAATCTGATTTTACTGTACCTGATGTAGATAACAGAAAACGTAACATTATGAAACTGAGAACGATTTTCTTTTATAATAATATGTTTTGGAACGGAGAAAATTCTCAATCTTTAGATGAAGAAAATCTTCAAATGGCATATTAGAATTACGTAGGCTACATAATACACATTAAAGAGATGAAGTTTGGTTTGAAATTTTCCTGGTAATTTTGATTCTTTTAATGATTTGTGATACTTTGCATTCTTTAAATTATTTCATGTTACTAAATGATGATTTTTGTGGACATTCCAAAATACAAAGAAATATACAAATTTTCTGCACATGCATGCACACACACATGCACAGATATACACGCCTAGGAAAAGCTTGCAAAGATACGTACCACTGTAGATGGAAGTGGGAACATATCTGTCACTTAAACGGAAAATGAGCTTTCATAAAATTTAGTATAGTGATGAGAATTTTGAATTTGCTGAGAATTAATTAACACTGATCAACTTTGCTTTGATTTTAAAATACTGTAAAGTGTGTAAAGTCTACGCAATCTTCGAAGCTGTCATAACTGAACCGAAAAGCAAGTTTTAACTTTGGTTAGAAGCAATAAAAAAAAGTTCTACTTAA